GCTTTTTTCTAAATTTCTGTTATAGAGATATCGTTACAACATATCAGTTAGTTTACAGACATAAGTACATTTGTTATTTTTATTCAAATGCACTTTTTTGAAAGGAATTATCATGAAAATGTTGTACAGTCATAGTTTAAGTAAAAAAAATCTCAAAGACACATTTTTAAATTTTAAAGAAAAATTTAAAAGAATCCATAGATAGGGTGACACAAAATCAATTATTTCAATTTTGTAACGTACATTTTTATTTAAACTTTATAAAAATTACATATTTATTTTCGTAATTTAGTTCGTACATTTGGCAATCTTATAGGTATCTTTACTGCCATATTAAACCACCTTATTTCTACCCGAAATTAAAGTCTGCGCATAAAGGTTTGTGTTTTCTGTTATTTTACATGTACACTTGCCGAACAAAAATTTTCGATTCTGCATATTGCAAATCTTTAGTGTGCGTCAAGGGTACCCTTATTTTCATGCATTGACCTTCACAGTTCTTTATTATTTAAGCTCTGCTTATAGCCTCCAGAATTTATAAATTAAAGTGTGTTCAGTTTCCCAAAGTCTATAATGAACGGAATAGGATAAATATCTGCGGTGCATAGGCAAATAAAATAAAAACCAAACTTTAAAAAAAAAAAAAATGGAATAACTAAATCCAATATCATGATGGTCATAGAACTATACATAGCTCATTAATATTATAATTAGGAAAGCTGAACTTTTTTCCACGTACAAAATTATTTTGCGTTGAAAGCTCTCTGTAAGTAAAATATAATAGTGTGTGGCTTCTAAAAAATCATTTTAAAAAGTTACTTGCAAAAAATTGATTGAAAATTATCAGAGTTACGAAACCTTCGGGTTCGTAGTGTATTTCCATTCAAAGAAATTTTCTGGAGTTCAAACTGTCCATGTAATATTTAAATAAAGCTACAAACCAAATTGGAGCCAAATCAGATGTAAATTTTTTTATTTATTTTTTCGTATTTTCTATACGACATAAGAATCATGATAACATTATTAATGGTCTCATGCATCCGCGAATATTACGAATGCAAATTGGAGCACCATTAAATGAATGCATGAAAGTAAAGGTTTTTTAAATAATTTCTTAGGTCTTAGCAGTTTTATAGATTTCATAAAAAATAAACTTGCGCGTAGTAGCTCGAGCTCTTTGTAAGGAAGTAAGTAAGAATAGTTCTATGCAAGGAACAGTGCAAGAAGAAATATGGATTTAATAACATCAAAGGATTTTTTAAAACTCAAACACTTTAAAGTAATAAGGTATATTTTAATCTCTTTTGGATTGTGGTACGATAGACCTTTACTTGAAAAATTGACAACAACATTTATTGTGTCATCAGTGCTAATAATTGGATATGTGTATGCGGTAAGCAAATTTTTGTCATTAACTGTAGTACACAACGTACATGTACAAAGCGAAGATAAAAAATGTTTGTGGCTGTAGTTGCCTGAACTTTAAACAGTGGAACTTATATAAGCAATGGCAATTCTATAAGATTCTTAAAACCATCTAAGTGGTTTTTGTCTTTTGTTTTTTTATTTCATGCTGGTCAATTGTGATTTTTTTTTTTTTCACCTTATTGAATTAGGAACGTAGATTCATACTTTTTATTTATTCTGCTCACATAACACTTCTTTTGCATGTCAATGTTAATAAAATTCTAAAGATACAGTTAATTTGATATTTTGACCAAAGGGTTTGAAAAATAAAGCTCATCGATCATCTTGGAATAGCCCATGATGCTTAACGTGGAATGACATCACACATCTTGTTGTATTTTAGTTGTTACGATATTTTATTCAAAATTTTTATTTGGAGAGGGCATTAAATGAAAACAAAATGTGACACCTTAGATTGGTCAATAGAGCAGGTTCGATGGTGGTTTTTAAAAAAAAATGCAAATGTCAGTTTGACGTCCCCAACTTCTTAAATTTCTTATACATAAAAGGTTTTTTTTTAAATTTAGATAGTAATTACATCTATTCCATAAAAAGAAGTCTGGAATCGATACGGACAAAACTGATTACAAAATTTAATTTTACAACTCAGAGATTTTCTTTTTTATTGCCTTTTACAGTGCCTGCGTTGTTTAAACTATTCTGCCGTAAATAAGTGAATAAAAATACAAGTGTTTATGAATAGAAAAGTAAAAACCCTGAGATTTCGAAAAAAATATGAAATTTTCAAACAAAAGCTTTTTAAAAAAAAAAAATATTTTTGTAAAAAGTATAAGTGTTTAAAATGCAAAAAACCGCTTGTTCTTGGCTATAAAAAATTAATAAATATATAGTAGGATTTACGAGTCCATAGGGTTCTTATTATTCAGATCAATAGTTTATTAAAAATCGCTTTTGTTGCAGTTTTTTTCAATTTTTGTAAACCACTAAATGATTGATTAAAATTTTCCGGGGCTGATTGGATGGATAGTTTTAATACCTACATCTTATTCCATTCAAGTATCGCTGTAAAATCGTTTGTAATAATTGTACAACCAAAAAATAAAGAAAAATCTTACTTTTTTAAAATTTATTGCACAATTAAACAATAATGCATCCCTTTTTAGCTGTTGAAAATATGGTACAATAAAAATGTACATAGATAAAAGTGAAAGATAAATAGGTCAAACTGACTTTTGCATTTTTTTTATACGAAAACCTTCCAATGACATACTACCGTATGGGGAGCACTGTAATAGTCAATGTTACAAATTGTATTGTTACATGCGTTAAAACTGTGTAAAATAAAAGTATAATCGTATAATTAAAAATACGTTGAACAAAGGATGCCACATTTGAGAATGAATATTTAAAGAACTCAAGCAAAAAAGATACTATTAGTTATAGAAATGCAAATTAAAATAAAATAGATAAATAATAGTTTCGAGATACTCACAATTACCTTTTTATGTACTTTTCAACAGTTGTGACATAAAAACTTCATGATTTTTTTTTATTTCGTTAAACGTTGTTTTAAGGAAATACTTTAAGTAAACTAGAAACTTTTTAATAAGACAAATAGTGTTTTTTTATAACATATGTAATCATTGCAGAAAAGAAGATACAAAAAAGTTACCATGTTGTCCTAGAATTTCGCTATTTATTTAATTAGAAATTTATTAATGCAGTGTTTTATTAGTCTAACGTATACACTATTGCAATAGATATGTCCTTTTAAGAAACATTACGTGTACAAATTTGTTTTTACAACAACATTTCTTACAAACGTGTAAACTAGTTTTTCAAACTTTTATAATTTTACAGAAACTTTACCACTGATAACTATAGTCGACGACAATATGAAGTGTACAAATTGGTTTTCTGTACCTCTCGAAAATCATACTTGTTATCGTTATTATGCAATTACATCTTCATGGAACAGTATCCTTTCAAAACTAGTGTTTTCAACAATATTTCTTAATAATACTTATTTTTTAATAAAGACAAAAGCCAACTTTGTACTTGTGGTACTGACGTAACTTTGTTTTAATTGGGAAAGTCTACTACTTTGTTTCCCTCTAAATATAGCTTCACTCACTAAGGGTTGATAAACATAATTTTTACCAATGAATTTCCTCCAAAAAAACAGATGCACAAATATATTGAATTTTTTGAAAAAAATGGAATCAAAATATTCGAATGGTAATAACGTATACCACTAATGCAAATAACAATTGTTTCTTTCAGTTCTTAGGTATGATGAGCAATTGGGGCGGCGATTTCCATCTGTGGATCGAAAATTTTATTATGTCACTGTATTTCTTTTACACGATTATATTGTATAACTATCTTTTATTCTACTCAAAAAAGGTATTTAATAAGTGCTGTTAAATATCTAGTTTTCCTTCAAAGAAGAATATTATTCAGCTATAATCATTTTTTAAGGTGTACAGACTTTACAAAAAAATGATATTTTTTAATTTATCACTACATGATTACAAAGAAAAAGCTATTTCGCTAAAGATTGCTAATTCTGGTTTACGTTTAATACACCAATTGTCCTGTAATTATTTACAAATTAGTATTTCTACGTCAAACATATCAAGTAAAATTTTTAAGGTTCAAAATACTTTTACAGATTTAGTTGTGATCGCTATGGTATCAGTTGGCCAGGCATCGTTGATGCCAGTATATTTAGACTTGATAGTACCATTAAATGAGTTTCGGCCAAGAATCTTCTTTCTTAAAGTAAACTTCATTGCTGACCCGAACGAAAATTATTTCATACATTATTTTGCATCCATCACCTTCATGAGTTTAGCAAATTGTGTTCAATTCAGTGGTGTTTTTACTTTATTAACTGCTGTACAACAAATTATAGGAATATTGTCTGTCATCAAGTGAGAAATACATAATTTTAAAGATTAACTAACAGACTTTGTACACAACAGCTTCTTTATCATTGATGTAAGAATATTAAATTCATTTAAGGTATCGTGTACAAGTGGCCTGTACAGAACTAGCAGACAATGAAAAGGAATCGTATAACATGATTATCTCTTCTATCAAATTACATCGAATATGTATAGAGTAAGTTTGCACAAGTGGTCAGTTTTATTTTCGATACTCTATTTTGCACATTTATTAATTAATGTCAGTATCTGACAATTAACTCATGGTTGTTTTTGATGCTTTACTAACGCTTAAATCATGAAAGCTTATAACCTGAATTAGAAGTATAAATAAAAGTACTTTTACTTTGGTTGTGCATTTTCTATGCCAATTAAATATTAAAAATTTTATTAATTCTAACTAGTAAGAAAATATTCTGTTGATCAATTAATTAAAATATCTTAATTAAAAGTATCTACAAATTATTTTATACTCTTACTTATAATTATTATTGAGGTTAAGTGTATAGGCGTACTTTCTGTTAACGAGAAGATTTAGAAAATACCATTAACGCATTGCTGTCATTTGCACATCTAAAAAACATTTTCTTCTATTTAAATAATGAAACAAAAAGTCTCGTAGAAATGCTCGAAAACATGTTCAACACGCTGTTTGCTATGGCTATTTTTGTTTTATCCATCGTTTTCAGCATATTGCCGATTTCTGTAAGTACATGTTCTATAAAAATTTTAATATTCTTTCACTTAACTACTTATTCTCTATCATAATGTTTGTAGATACTTGATACTGAAGACTATTTTGAAAGAATCAGACTAAGTGTGATGGTTTTTAGTATGTTGGCGGTTATATATTTATTAAGTTGGCTGGGGCAAAGAATTATAGATGAAAGCGACAATTTGTTCTTAGCAACGTAAGTATGTGTGCAAGTCGATATAAATCAATTCTTTTATTGTTTTATGAGGATTTAACAAAACCATTGGTTTTTTAGTTATACAGGCCAATGGTATCAATTGTCAGAAAAATCAAAAGTGTTGCTAAAAATCATGAGGTACAGATCTGTGCGGCCTTGTGTTCTCACTGCAGGAATATTTTTTGCTTTGAACCACGAGAACTTCGTTAAAGTACGTATACCTGAGTATCTGCCCGTATCATGAACTTAATTTCATGATCTTCTCAATCAAATTTCTTTAACACACGTTAACAATTTCTTTTCTTTTAGATCGTGAAAACGGGTTTTTCTTATATGGCTTGCCTACGTTCCGTAAGACAGTAGTTATGTGTGATAGTTTTAGTTAAAAGTGACTGTTATACCTTTCAAAGTTTTACTTAAGTTTAAAATTAAGATTATTCTTTATTCATTCAATGCCTGAATTTAATTTAAAAGGGGGACTGCCCAATATTTGTCAAACAAATGTTAATAAAAAAGTTATAGTAAGGGGCGGTAATCAATTAACAATTGCACAATAAAAAAGTTATTTAAATGATAACGATTTTTTCCAACCATGATTCGCTGACTAGCATTATTCAAAATTATTATTTATTCCACAACCGTTATGGATTTTTTCAATAAACCGTACGTACTTTCTATTAAAACTCTGTGTATACATAAGTATTTTAATGTTACTTTTTGATAGGTCTATAGCAAATACTTTTCAACACCTTGTTTTAGTAAAAGGTTGTGGATGATTATTTACTCATCATAGATATATGTATTTAATTAGCACAAGAGTCGAAGTATTCAATGTATGTGTAGCTTATTCACAGCAAACTTTTGGAAGAAATAAATAGAGCAATAATAAATGTGAGTGATGTTAGTACTATCAACTCATTTATAATTTTCCTCATTTCTAGTATTACTAACGTTCCCCAACAACACTTAAAATGACGATAGGAGCCCTAAAATCTCTGCAGTTGACAATATTTTGTTTTCAGTTGTTCATTACTGAAACGGAAAATAATGAGAAAATCAATAAAGCAATAGTTATGATCTTATTAACAGTAAGAGAGAGAATTGTTTACAAGCCCAGAGATAGTTTTTGTCAGTACATTTGAGACCAAAAATTCCAGATCGTACAAAAGAAGGATCATTTTTAGCGTCAAAATAAAGAACCTTTATATTGTAAAGGCCCTCGCGCAAAAAGCGCTTGAAAGCAAGCTGCCTCGCATATTTATTACTTTATCATTCTACTCTGTTACATTATTCTGTATGATTACTAGATATATATTCTCACTTATTCATGTTTAAATGTCATGATTTGATTAATACTCCCACTCTATAGATACTAAAGTTGCAAATAAATTTTTGTAACCTATTTTCAGAAAGTAAATTTATATATTACAAGAAATTTTCTTCAAAGATTCCCGTTTTTGTACCATTAAGGTTACCAAAGGTTACCAAAAATTTTACCTAATGAGATAATGTATTCCTTTACACAAATGGATTCCTACCACGTGTTAATTACATTAATAAATAAAGAAACAAACGTGGATGTAAATAAATGAAGTCCTCAAAAGCTGGCATTATACTTCAATTTGATGTAATATTTTTGAATTGCAAGCCAATTAAAAGAAATTACTTCAATAATATGCAGTGCTTCAGTTTTTGCACGAAATATTAAATCTCGTTTCAAATTAATTTTTGCCCGATCTAAGGGAGAAAAAGAAGGCTCATATTCATACCAGAAAACAACAGCCAACCGTTACTTTTCTGTGACAGTGTAAATATGTCTTTAGTAGAAAAACAGCTTTATGAATTGTGGATTTTTCCTCTATTATGGGTTTAAGAAAAATTAATACTATTTTGTAATATTTAGCAAAGTAAAAACAGTTGGTTTAAATTAATTGGCGTTTTATTTTTGCATCAAGAGCTGGTAATTCTAAAATATGGCCCTGAGTATACAAGTAATAACATTATTAACTATGATATGATTTAATAGTTATTTTTATGTTTGTGTAGATTTTTTTTTATAAATCGATGCTATCTACAAAAATTTTATACTTAATTATTTTTTCAAATCTGACTTAGACGTAAAAATTATGAAGATTATACATTTCGTAACGAGAAAAGTCTGACTCGTTTGAACTATAACATAAGTACTTAATACTGCAAAAGAGTTCAAAAATATTTAAAAATTTTGCAAAAGATACTTTTTACTTCGGAATTACGTAGATGACATTTGTTTTTGCAAAAATTTTTAATCTTAGAATTTGTCGCTTAACATCAATATTTCAAATCAGTTATGTGTACCCTGAAGTAATTGTAATTAAATATTCGTATTTTCTGTTATCGCACACTTTCTGATCAACAACTTTCACTTTTGCATATTTCAAATCTTTAGTATGCGTCAAGGGTACCTCTACTTTCATGCATTGACCTTTATAGTCCTCTATTATTTAAACTTTGCTTATAGTATCCAGAATGTATAAATAAAAGTTTGCGGGACTGTGAAGTATGTAAGAAGGAAGGGGGGCAATGAAAATGTATACGGCGCATGCACAAATAAAAACCAACTTTTAAGAATAACAAAGAAAAATTAAAATATTTTATTCTAACATTGTAATTTGAAAGCTCTCCGTAAGTGCTGTATTGTATGTAGATCGTTCGTTCTGAAATCTACAGCGGCGTGGTTCGAATATGGATGTCTCTGTGATTTTTTTTTCATATGTATCTATTATTGTAACAGCCGTGCTATTTGAAATAAAAGGAATTGGTGTCTGGTTTATAGGTGTAAATGTCCATTTCTATGAATCCTATAGTTTTAAAAGTGTAGCATATCAGTGCTTTGGTTGTTAATGAAAAAAATTTTTGATAATAACTGTTCTCATGAAAAAAAAAAAAAAACAGTCGTTCGTAAAGCAATTATGATTCAATAATAGCATTAACCCGCTAGACTCTAAATGTAAAAAATTGGCGTCAATGAAAATGGACCAAAATGGTTCTTACGACATCGGAACAGTAAGATTTTACGGTACTTTAGAATTTTTTATATATTTACATAATGAACATAACATGGCAAAGCCATAAACATTAATTGACTTAAGACGAATAAAAAGGACAAGACAAGACATGTGCTTAATTTAAAAAATGTTAGGAAGTATTAAAGATGTCGGAGGTCATATATTAAAAATCAATGAAATACATTGAAGAGGCTTTGTTGATACAATAGTACATTTTCTTCAAATTTTTTATTACGTATACTAAACAATGTAAATAGAAATTAGTTATTTTTATACGTTTCCAACGCATGTGGACTAGAGTAAGTAGTACGTAACACTGCATTTTAATTTGTGATGTGTTACTCTTTCTCAAATTTTGTATCAATGCCATGATACTTGCGTTAAGTAATTTAAAAATTTGAGACAGTTTAAAAGATCTTTAATGTATGTTGTCGTGGTTTGATCAAATAAATTAATAAATAAATTGTACCAGTAGTTTACATTTTACTTGTTAATTCAAGTGTTGTTCAAGTTACGTTTTTTTTTTTTTCCAATAGTTTTCGTTCAGTGAGATATAAGAAAATTTTTCACAAAAACAGGATTGTATTAAGTGAGAAAATGCTTCCAAGCTGTGCAAGATGAGGAAATTAGGATGTTAAAACAATAATTTTTAAAATGAACTAATTTACTAAAATTAATTTTTTTTAATACTTACTCTGTTTTAATAACTATATCTTGATGTGTAAACTATTTTAAATATAACTTGAACAACTACTAAAGTGAAAATACTAAGCTTTCGGCTCTTAATGACTAATATGTCCTTAAGTAATTTGTATAAGAGCGCGCGGTGGCTCAGTCGGCTAGGTCGTGGATTGAGACGCGGGAGACCGTGATTCAATTCCCGGCCATAGTACGACTTTTTCGGGCAAGTACCTCTGTGATTTTTCACATGTGCTTTTTCACCACGCAATGCTCCTCGAGGAGGGTTTAGGCGACCTTCTCGCAGCAAAATTTGCCTAAATTTCCCCTACCCCCTCTCAGCAATGGGAGGCCTCCCATCCCTCTTTCCCTCCTTCTCCAAAGTGCTAAGTTCCCATAGTAGTGCCCTNAAAAAAAAAAAAAAAAGTAATTTGTATACAATTTATATACATGTAGCGTACTCTTACAATTATTCGACTAGTTACAACAAATCTTTTCGTTCACTTTGTCAATGACGTTCATATGTTTACCTGTCAATCATTTATGCATGAATTGATTTTCATGCTGTTACTAAAGTTTTAACGTAATTGATTTATTTATTTTAATGTTTCTTCTGACAATTACAAAGTCCAATTAAATAGTCTAAATTTGGCGTCCCTTTTTTTTTGGGGTAAAAGGAAATTTTCGAATTTTCCGTTGGTTAGTTGGCTTAACACCGTTTCTGCACTGCCGAATTCATTCTTAAGTTTTCTATCTACAGTACACCTAATTTTATTCGTATATTTCTTTTTACACCGATGCTCAGTACGAAAAATATCTGAGTATCCTCACATGTCTGAAGACTTGGTATTTACGTTTTTATAAATCATATCGAGATTTACAATCTATAATAGATAACCGTTTTTCTTAAAAATGCCTTAAGTTTTTTGAAAAGTTCGTCTACACTTACTTTACTTCAGCTCAAGCAAAATAAATTATGATATTGTCAATTGAGGCGTTTAGACCAAGTGAAAATGCACATTAGTTTACATAAAAATCCAAGTTAGTTGAATACTAAATAATAATTAATACCAAGTTTTAAATACAACGTCAAATTATGCTTTATTCCTTGGGGCCTTTCTTAGGACATTTGGGTGTTTACTACAAAAAAATGAGTCTGTAAATACTCTACACGTTTCACTAGTCTGGGGAAAAATAATCAACAAGACATCTATGATGAAAAATTAGTTCGTCCAAACCAGTTTCATATAAAATAAAATAATTCGTAAACAGTTTAATCCACGGGTATTAATGGTATTTGGCATATATTGCTCGATTACCGTTTACTCTGTTGGGTATCCTGCACTGCTTTTTAATTTTTGTTTATCTCGAATTGTTTTTTTAACAACAAGTAATCCTACAAATTTTTTTTCTCTATGTCGCAAAAATCATATTGGTTGTTGTGCAACATGATGTAAAAATATAAGGTGTGGCGTTGCGCATCTATTTCGATTGACCAATCAGCAACGCTTCCATCGCGCCGCCATGTCCGTCTGCGCATTTCAAAAGCTTTAAAATATACAGCATATTAACATATAGAGACTCGTGAAACAATATATATTTTTTATTTCAATATTTTCATTCCAGTTGTTTCAGTGACCAAACGTACAATTCGCGAATATTCACACAGAAAAAACTGACTAAATAGGTAACCATTCATCAATTGACGTACATGTATATTCATACGTATGTCTATATATATGGCTCACTTCGAGGTGGATGCGGAGGATAGATTTTAGTTTCAACTTTGACCACTTCGTTTCATTGTACAGGCTATTCAGTGCTGTAGTAGTCACATCTCTCTCAAATATGGCGTCGTGGCGAAATAAGGCGCAGAACGGCACGAAAATGAGACCTCGGAACGCCACACTTTGTAGTTTTACATCATGATTGTGCAAGTGGTTGATTCTTCATAAATGGATTATCTTGTGTCCAGGGCTCGTATTACTATATAAAACTTGAACTGAATATTCCAATCCCATAAAGTTATCTTAAAAGTATTGAACTTTCTTAGAAGAAACTTTGAAGTTGTCACATTGACTTCTCAATAAGATAATTAAGAAAATATAGTCCAAATGTCATTTCCGTACCCTGTCCCAATCTCAATTTTGCTCCTAAAAGCTCCCACTTGGAAACAAAATAAGCTTTTCCGCCTTCTAAACTCAAAATAGCACCTTCGCCGCTTGATTTTTGGTTCTCAGGCGGAAAAATAATATACGAAACTCGTTCGAAAAGGCTTCTATACGAACCGAGAGGTTTACGGCACGAGCCGAAGGTGCAACTCTCGGTTCGTAAATCGAAGCCTTTGCAAACTCGTACGTAATATACTATTTTTGCCACATCCTTCCATCAAGCACTAAATGTCTCACGATTTATTTTAATTTTCAATTTTCATGTATACAAAAGTTTTGGACACTTTCGTCCCCACCTAAACTCACTACTCTGTTACTCATACAGGTGAGAAAAATTTTTTTCCTTGTATTATTTATTGACGAAGATGTTTTGTTAGCGGAAAATCGCTTATATTAAGTCTACGAGCCGCAATAGTACTCCAAAGCTCGAAATGTCACTTCCGTACCCCCAATGGTAAAAGTGTCCTCTTTTTCTAGCTTTTATACATCAGAACTCTACGAAACTTTTTTTTCAGTATTGTGGGATAAAACATGAGACACGTGTCTCAGCGTTTGGTTTAATTGGCTTTTTTTCTCGAGACACCTCGAGGAATATAGATTTCACTTCTAACACTAGTAGCGAAGGAGTACATTATTTAAGGTGGTCCAAAATAGGCTCAAATGACTATTGAAACGAAGCTCTATTGATTAAAAAAAAAATTTGTTAAATTTTGGTGCCCCCAATCAAAAGTTATATGATTTTTTTTTAAATCACGAATTTCCGGCAAAAATTTACGAAACTTTATTTTTACCAGCTTTTGTCGCTCATCTTCAAACAGCTGTAACTTTTGATTAGAGGCACTAACTGGAACGAATTTTTTTTTTTAATCAGTTGGGTTTGATCTTAGCTTTGATATAATCTGAACTACAACACTTTAACTATACAAGCAGCTTAGCTGGTATGAATTATCAGGGAAATCAAAAACTTTGTTAAAAACCATGAGATACAGATCTGTGCAGCCTTGTGTTCTCACGGCAGGAATATTTTTTGCTTTGAACCACGAGAACTTTGGTAAAGTACGTATACCTGTAATTAGTGTCTTTTTTCATTTTCTGACAAATGCCGCTGGATTCCAAAATAAATAAATCCACTCAGAATACTTCTAATGGTAAAAGTCAAAAAGACGTCTTTCAGGTGGAGATATGCATTCGACGTCACATTTGTAGAAAATCTTCAGACAAAATGTTTGTTTGGTATCAGGGTCCTCATATGCATAGAAAAATTAAAACGATGTAAAAAATTATTCACAATCCATTAAAACAAAAAGCAACACTATCTCATGATTGGTGGCATTCAAGAAAAATAACTAAAAAATCAATGAAGAAATAGCAATGATTTTATTAATATAAAGAAAATAAGAAAATTACTTATAAGCGTAGAAATGGTTTTGCTAACACATTTGTCATAAAAAAAAACATTTTTTAAGTTTTAGTCATTTTTTAAGGTTTTTTTTTACATAAACGTAGAAATAAAAATTAATTTAAAATTTGTAGTTGCATAATTTTTAAAAAGTCTTACCAAGACTCTCTCATAAAAAGTGCTCAAGGGCACCGAAAAAATGAGTCCGATTTTATTTAGGGTTGACTTCCACAATAAAACACCACTTGGTTTTCTCGAGCAAAACTTTTTATTCACATATATTAGTCAATATTTCGTTTCATCTGGGAGACCTTTTTCAAGACTCTCTCTTATTTACGTAAAAACCTCACGCAGTATAGACCAGCAATTATATTTTATACAGAAACCATGTTACAAATACACGGGAGAACTCTTCACAATAGTATACGCTGAAGGTAAACTGAATCCGATTTTGCCTGAATAAATTTTCTTTTTTTTTTTAACATGTTCGAAGTCTTTCAGCACATAAAATAATGTAAGTCTTAAAAAATGTGATAAGAATTTACAGAAAGTCTTAGATCATTTTCTCTCACCCTGCCTTTGTAGAATTAAAATTGTCAGAATCTTTATTTTGTTTCTCAAACATGAAGACCTTTTGCAATAATATCCCAAGAAAAATTATCATTACCAAAAACGTTCAAGACTTTCTAATTTTATATTATAGATTTTCCAACATTTTTGTCTTTAAGAAACAATTAACACCATGAATCGCAAAATGGTACGTTACGTCACTAGGGCACAAAGTACATACATGAGCGCCCGAAGGGCACGCTTGTTGTAGGTTGGTGCTCGAGTCGCGTATAATGTTTTTCTTACCGAGGGCGCAAAGTGTGCCCACGGGCGCAAAGCGGCAGTTGCACTTTGCACCCATGGTAAGAAAAATAAATATGTTTACATAAATTTTTTTCTAGCACGAGTTAACTAAATTAATAAACAAATAAACAAATGAGAATATAAAGTTAAAAACCAATTTCAAAAGTAAAATGGTACATTACGTTACTTGGGCACAAAGTATAAACATGAGCGTCCGAATGAGTGATGGTTATTGTATGTTTGTGCCCGAGTCTTTGTTTGTCCACTTCTCGAGTCATTGTTTTTCTTACCATGGACGCATAGTGCCATTTTGCACTTTTCACCCAGTAAGTCACTTTCTGCCCTAAGGCCCAAAGGGATTACATCGGCGCAAAGTGGCAGTTGCACTTTGTACCCATAGTATGAAATAGTAATTTTATTTGATACAATATCTTTGAATTGCAAACCGTTTTAAGGAGATTGTCTTACTTATATGCAGGCAATTTTTTAATTTAGGCACGAAATATTTGGTACATTTTGTATTACTTATTGGCTATTGTTATGATGATAATGCGTATTTAAAAACACTTTTGGTACCAATGAATAATCGATGAGTAAACCAACTTTTAGAAAATGTTTTTGCTAACAATTAATCATAAGTGTATGAATTAGGGATCAAAGACATTATCTAGTAAAAACAGACTGGTTAAATAAATATTAAGTAGGTATATGTGGGTCCAAAAAATAGTACATATCAGTTAATATTCTAATTTTATTTCATGTTCGTAGGCACTTCTAGGACTTACATTATTTGATAATGTTAATGTATATATTTATTTCTGACTGTCAACTTTACTTTCTTCACCCTCGACACATATAGTTATTAGAATTATTTGACTCTTAACATTTTGATTAATTAAATTAAATGCATTTATAAGACTCCGACAGAAGTAAAAATCATTTAAACAATAGGAAATTTTAGTTTGATTGCAGTGTGTATAATTTTTATTGAAGAAATTACGAAAAACAATTATTTCCTAATTTACAACATAATGTTGGCTTAAAAAAAATCAATGATTAGTTTGCATCGATTTTTTAAATGATTTTATTGAATCTTACAAAATAGTACACAGTCTATGTGTACCAAGTATTACGAAAGATGATTTTTATTGAATTACAATAATGGTCCCTATAAATGAACTAAATGCCATTTAAATATATTATTACATTGAAATTATACAGTTCAGATGCGGTTGAAAAGTTCTTTAAATGTATTTCCTATTTTTGTAAAAATGTGACTGACAGTTTTTAAAGATAACAATGGCATATTCTCAGAGTTATCCGACTCGTTAACGGTAACCCTCCTGTTCTCTTTGCTAACCATCCTATTATTTTCACCCGTTGAATCATTCTGGCATTGATGTTTTTCATGCTGTTAGAAAAGTATAGTTGTAATTTATTTATTTATTGTAATATGTATTTTATGAGAACTAAATTGTCTAAATTTTGTATTACCCTTTTTGTTTGATGAAAGAAAGTGTTCAAATTTTCCATTGATCCAGTCTTTTTCTCCGCAGTGTCAATCCAATTTTTAAGTTTTCCATTCACAGTACATTCAAGCTCATTCGATGACGACTTTTTATACCGTTTCAAAGCCTGAAAAAAATTTGAGCCTCCTGATGTGCCCTCAGACTCCGTATCTCTGTTTATATAAATTATGTCGGAATTGTTACTCTGTAAAAAATAAATATATTTTCTTTTACCTAATGCAAAAACACATAATGTCATCGAAAAAAACTTTAAAAAAACTGAAATTAACTATTTTAATCCCGTACGTCGTAATGTATTTTAAAGAAAATTCTAAGCAAAATATTTCACATGCTACGTAGTATAATAACAAAATAAAAATATTACCTCAGTTGCTGGATCGCACGAGGATAAGGGCCTTTTTCCTCTACGTCGTTGTTTTATATTGTTCTCGGTTTGGAATTGTTTTGCTTTTCTCATGGGGACTCGAGAACTGCTATCTTTCCGTAAAGTCTGTCTGCATTCAATATACTTATGCCAAAATAATGAAAATATGTTATTGTAAATTGAGGTGTCCCAAACTAAAGGGGCGATGTGTATTAAAATTTATCATAATTAAAAGTACGAATGAATACTACTTGATAATTTATTTTACGCATAACTCAAATCTTATAAATAAAATTACTAAAAATAGTATGTCGAAAGCTGGATTAAATAAAATTAATGGAAGTTCTTTGGAACACTTGATAATTTAAGTCTTTTTGGGTGAAATAGTGTATAACACAAATGTATTGCAGATTTTTTGTACAGAAAAAAAAAATTCATAATAAAAAAAAGAGCTTTAGGATAGTCAGGAGTTAGATGAAAATTCAAAAATTATTGTAAACCTTTAAAAATCCGTTTTAAGTATAGATTGTCAAGAACACCTTAATTTTTTGAAATATTCCCAGTGGATTATTATTTGAAGTAAATAAATGTTAAATTTAAGCTATTGACCATACATTGTTATAAGAGTTATTATCAGTTTATTTTTTAAAATTGACAAACACTTTTTTTTAGATGGAGATCTATATATGTTGTTTCTAGATTCAGTCACAAAAATTTCGTCTCATATTATGGTACATATTTAATAAAAACCAACGAAGAACATATAAACAAAATACTGGATTCGTAGACTACATTAATAGGTCAAGAGAGCTCCCCTATCATTGTCCCTCTGCCACGTGAATCCTGACCATCCTTAATAAAAATATTAGCATAATGACTGATTTTTGTTATTACAGTTAAAAATAATTATTACGGTACATTGGTATTTCAAACGGATAAAAGTATAAAATGTTCTTGGTATAACCCATCTAAATTTCATGCATGTTCCAAAGAGGGGACATTTTTTCCAGAAGCAGGAATACATTTCCTAGTGATGTTTTATACCGGGGGTTATATTATCTACTGTTAAATTTTTGTTAGTAAAATTATTTTATCCTACAATCCTGTTAAAATATCGATTTAAAAATAAAAATATTGCGTAGAAAAATATACGCTTTAAAGAAACGATTAAATTCTTGAAACTAAAGTTAATACTGATAAAAAAAATTAATTTAATAAAAATCCTTACAAATTTGCTGTAAAAACAATTTTTTTAAATCTATTTTTAAGCGCTTTATATTTGATTCCAGAGTCAAAGATACGATTTGCAAATACATTATTTTTAAAATGCTGAAACTCATAAAAATTTTATTGAATATTATTTATTGAATCAATTCAAGTACCTGTGTGAAATTTCAGTTCTTCATATTTTATAAAAAAAGTTATTAGAAATGTTCGTCCATGCTTTTAATGTAAGCCATGTCCATGTATTTCAGCATTTACGTTAATATATTTTGATTAGGTCTGATTATTTACAGTTTTTCAAGTGTCAACCCGTTTAAAATTGCATAAGTAATAAAAAAAAAATGTTTATTTTTTTATTCAGGTAAAATTTTTCATTCGTAATGAAAAACGTCAAGACCATACATATACTGATATTCGTAAGACTTCACGTTGCATTGCCATTTTAAATACATCCCTTTCTTCCTCATAAAAATCGTAAAGCTTCGTTGAATCCTGACAATCATCATTTCATCAAACATGACCTTGAGAATTTTTAGATACGCAAGTACAATCACCTTTTTCACGGCCCCTTGCAAGTCTTCGATCCATGCCTCGCTATCTCCTGTTTCGGAATACACTAGCAGCGTCTCGTGCATACAGACAACCTTGAAGAGTCCATTGCTGAGTACTCGCTCGACTTTGCACTTGTTCAGCGGTAAAAGACAGCAGACCGTGAGCGAATCTTCAGGACTGCCCTTGCAGTAGAGCAGAGTGTCGCTGAGGAGAATGAAATGACGGCGGAAGGACGAGTTACCACGCCGGGAGACTCGCATGAGAGGCCCCTGCCGAATGAGCTTACGACCTGGTTTTATGAGGTTGATCCGACCGGATATGTGTTTCTGCAGCTCGAGCAACTTTTGGGCGTCTTCGTACTCCGCTACGAGGGCGTTGATGTGAGAAGCGACTTTCTCGATCTCTACCAGAGAAGCTGCAATCAAGTTTTTCGAGTAACAGATTTTCACTAAATACTTAATTTCGAAGGTCATGTGGTCATTTTAGCTGAAAAAAAGATCTTGTTCCAAACTGTTGGAAAACGTATCTTGTTCGTAAGGGTTACACATCGTTAGTAAAGGGCTTGAATGAATCTTTAAAAACTATCTTTTTAATAATCATTTTTATTAGACCATGAGTTTGTCAGGAGTAGTTTCATATTTTGAAATTACCTGGATCTCCTAACAAAAATAATCTTCAATCAATAGAAACCATTGAAATCAATTTATAAATCTAATATTATACTTATGCGTGGTAAACAGTCTTATACGTATAAAATGCCATAAACACCACGAGTGCCAAACTTTTTCATAATTAAGTGATAGTAATAATTGCAATTCTAGCCTTGTCTTATCTATTAGAGGTACAAGTAAAAATTATTATGTACATCAAATTGTAGTTTGACCTGACGAGCCAACCAGTTGTTGGCGAAACGTTGTTGACACGACTAATAAATATCACTAACATCATGTAAGATAAAAATGATTCCTAACAATTTGTCTTATATCATTATATAATTATTTATTGTTGGGGTAAAAAAAATATACCTACAATTAAATGTATATTGTCAATCTCTCTTTACAGTTGCCTTAAGAAACAGAGACTTTTTTTTTGTTCGATTTAAATTTTTTAAAGCTAATTTTAGTCCTTCAACGATTGCCCACTTGGAGTAACTGAATTTTAAAAATGTTAAGTGTCTAATAAGATTAATCTTATTATACTATTGTTTATCCTTCAAAAAAAAAAGAACTAACAGTTGGAGCCCGCTCTTTGAACCCTTAATGTTTTGAAAGCGCATTTTTGAAAGGTTGACGCTATACACTTATGTTATATCGTAAAACAAAAATAATTGGTGTTTTAGCACATAAGTTAGCCTTATTTCTTACGATATAATTAATACGTTTGTTTTCAAGTATCATCTGGCATCTTAATTTATTATTATGAATTAAGACTTTATCTAACAAAATAAACTCTTTGAATGAGATCTAATTATTGTAAACTTGAAATACTAGTACTTCTCCTTAAAAGTTCACAAATTTTGTTGGGACGGAACTCAATTAAAATATTAAAAAATCATTAGATGAAAAAAAAACCCAGGTTATTACATGTATTATTTCGGAGTACCTGGCACACCTTGTTATAAGAAAAAACTGTGGGGTATTTTTTTTTTTTTTTTCTCTTGGGTTACTTATGTTATCATTTCTGAATAGACCACTAAAAATCATATGGTAAGGTCTTCAAATGCCAGTCGTAATGTATAAACCTAACCAAACCTACTTCAACGAGAACATATTAGCACTTTTAACATACCATTTTATAACACATATCTAAAGTAACAAATAAAACTGATAAAGTAATGATAAAAGTACTTATGATTAATACTTTTGAGTATTGAGCGCCAATGCTCAAGGACTCATACAATTTGGAAAAGGTTTTAGTTTTCATTTCAGGGGCTATTTTGCCGTTAGGGGCACTCACCATCACATGGGGTACTCAGCATGCCTTACTATTTCGACGGTTGGGTAAAAGACAGAGCCAACTCAGATAATTGGTGAAAAATAAGCCAACTCGAAATTTGCATTGAAAAAATTTGGGTTGAAAAAGCAGTCAACTCAGATTTGGCTTGAAAAAGGAGCCAACTCAGGTTCGGGTTGAAGAAGAAGCCAACTCGGGAGTCATTTTTTTCATCAAGTTTTGTCGTAGTAGCACTGAAATTCACAATATAGGTATACCTATATAAACGAACAAAGATTTTTCATTAATCCAATGGTTCAGAAAAATAATTTATGTTATTGTAATAGAGTGTACTATACTTATTANGTTTGTTTTAGATGTTTAGCACGATATGATTTGAACAATTTTGAAAATAAAATAAAGGATGACCATGGTATTATTAAATCAGATTTGAGAGGCAAACATAAGAACAGATAAAAAAAATAACGTATAAAAAGCACATAATTTAATAAGTATAGTACACTCTATTACAATAACATAAATTATTTTTCTGAACCATTGGATTAATGAAAAATCTTTGTTCGTTTATATAGGTATACCTATATTGTGAATTTCAGTGCTACCACGACAAAACTTGATGAAAAAAATGACTCCCGAGTTGGCTTCTTCTTCAACCCGAACCTGAGTTGGCTCCTTTTTCAAGCCAAATCTGAGTTGACTGCTTTTTCAACCCAAATTTCGAGTTGGCTCCTTTTTCACCAATTAAGTATCTGAGTTGGCTCTGTCTTTTACCCAACCGTCGATTTCTATATTTTATGTGAGTGCGTGCGCATCGTAATATATAGATATACAAAGTGCACGTGAGAACCTCACGTGATGGCGAGCGCTCCTAGCGGCAGAATAGCCCCCATCATAGGTATTAACGTCCAAGCGCAAAATGTATTTCATACCTTGTAAATCGTTGTAATCTTTTTGCCTAGGTGTTGTGTGTCGTAATACTTCCTTTAAAAGTAGCCTATATCGAGGTACTCTTTGAATCGGTGCTATTAGCAAAGAAGAGAGTTTACTGTTAACTTCTGGCCTGGTTTCTTGACTCGATATGAACTCCATAGTGGTCAGGTCGTTTTGTTGTATTTCCTGTGTAAGTATTTTAAAAATGATTTTATTGATGTCATAATTTCAGCTAATGTTATCCGCAACAACGATTAGTAAATTTTTTATTCTCACCTGTAGTAATACTAACGCGCGTTTGTAGTTGTAAGCATACACCGAGTACAGTTTGAAAAAAGGAGCTAACTTGCGAAACGCTTGAGCTACGTTCTCCGGATTCTGCCTCAGTTCGTTTAACAGCTCTCCATTTACGTTGTACAAGGTTTCAATATTTTCAAATAATGTTGTGTACGAGGATTGGCTTAATAGTCTTCTTTTAAGCAGTGGTGTCATGAAATACTAAAATTTTTTCACGTTCTTATGACTGTGTTTGAAATAATTTACCGTCAATAAATTAAAATATTTAATCGAGAAGTAATCACCTCCTTGATAATTTCTAACTGACGTAAATAGGCAACTTCGGAGGTCAAGATCTCTTGGATCGTTTGAGCTCTCAAACTTTGCTCTTTCTCTTCTATGTATTGACGAGTGATGTCATCCAATGCACTTAGTACTGTGTAAAAAAAAAAAAAAATACATATAATAGATCCAATATGTAGGTACAAATATGTTCAGTTACAATCATACCTTTCATTCTCGAACGCGTGGTTAACATATTTCTCTTGTCGATAATGTCTTTCAGTTCAGCACTCAAAGAAGAGGCCTTAGGAGTTCTTGGAGAATCCATTATCACTTCGGTCTGAGTTTATGTAATTGAGAATATTAATACGTGTACATTATTACATGAATAAAATTAGAGCTTAGAGAATCCTCAGTTATAAAAAAGTTATCTATTTTGATACACTTTTTTGTAATATCACATTGCTTTTAAATAATAATTGTTTTTGCAAATTAAAAAGCGATCATTTGTATGTGTGTATACATCGAAGTATGTATGTCTGATTGTCATTGTGTTTGTGTGACTGAATATACATACAAGGACTGGTTATAAGATTTTTTAAACATATATTACAGTTTGCGTAACCTAGAAAGTCATCAAATTTGTGTTCCAACATATTTCATAAGATTAAGTTTATTTAGGGATTATTTAAAGAGTCAGTTAATTAAAAAAAATTTTTTAAATACGTCATTTTCAGGCAAGTAAACATTATTTTTTATAAGAACAAGTATATAAAAATTTTATGTGAGTATAAAATTTTTAAAATAGCTTAAGTAATTTTAATGTAATTCATACTAAATTCAATAGACAGCATACAAAATTAACTGAAAACCCCTTTTTTCTTTTTTGAAAAAGAAACTTATATTCCTTGACCAAGAGTTGAATACAACAACTGTAAGTAAAGAAAATACTCTTTATGTTCTCTATAACATCATTCTAACGCTTTAGTAAACTCAAATCATTTTTAATAAATCAAAGAATACCTTAACAATTTAATACAAATTTTTCGTTTGATATTGGAAGATAAAATAATAAGTACGAAAGGGATGAACACACGAAGAGATCTTAAAATTTTTTAAATGTTATTTACTAAATATGAAAATTTATCTAATTGTAATAAAAATTTTTCTCTGGTATTAAGAATGGTCAAGAGTCCATTCAAAATTATTTTTAGATTTTTTTGTATCGCCTTGAATATTTTCATCGCTCTATAGGTTACTTTTTAAAGTAAATAAATGTTACACTTATGCTCTTCACCATACGTTCTTATTAATAACTAATTTTCAATTTTTTTCACATAGACGAATGCAAAAAAAAAACATGATAAAAAAATGTATTTATTATTATTAATAAACACGCAGTTATTTTAAGATTCAGTTAGAAAATTTATTTAATGTTATTGTGTATTTAAATAATAATCGAGGTAAAATATGAACAAAATATCGGTTTGTAGGCTACGCGAGTAGTGCGAGAGAGACAATTAATAATTGTTACCTGACGTACATATAAAAATTACCAAAAAAAGCCAGGAATGAAAAAACTACGAGACAAAACAAAATTTTGTTCTAACTTGTATTAAAATATAGATACACGAATAATATTATGCAATAACTTTTTTATTCATGTACAAAAAACATGAATACAGGCTCGATGAAGTTGTAATTAATGGTTTTAATTATCATAGAGTACTTAAACTATTGTATTTTTAATGCGATTATAAAAAAAATTAATTGACATTAGAGAAAAAAACGCGTTTTTAGCAACGGATAATCTTTAAGACCACATGTACAATGGCATATTTCTCAAAACCTATAAAGGTAGATCTTTTAAAATTTTTACATGGCGTTAGTAGAAACAAAACAATTATGTCATAATTTTTAGAAACATTCATGTAAGACACAAAACATCATGATAACTACACTGAGGAGCATTTTATTATTTTTTGTTTTTAAGAAGAATTTTTTTTTTTTTACCGTAAAGATGGAAAAACCTGTTTTGTGCATATAATTGAATTGTTTCACCTAGACTTTGAGAAAAAACTTGCTTTTTAAAACATATAATACATACATTTAATTCTAAAATTTTTCTTGTAATCATGACGTTAAGAAAGTGAATTGAAAAGGTATTGAAAAAAGTAAAATATTAAACTTGGGCTACTCAGAACCAATTTAACTCTGGCAACAGAAGCTAAAAAATTTTGCTTCTTCTTTTATTATTAGGACAGTATTAAAAGAAGCTGATTATAGTCCAGATTTATGTTCATATTCTTGTAAATGGAGATGGCCCAAGGGACAATCCAACCATATTCGGTCTTAAAGGCTATGGATAAAAACAGCCCCTATCACTTGATCCTCTTTATTGAAATTGTGCTAATGCACGTACAGCTTAAAACTTTCTCACCTCAATGCTTCTAAACCTTTTTTCTTAAATATTTGTTAAACATTTGAATCTAAAATCTTATGCACCTACTCTTTCAAGTGAATTATTAAATAAAACAGTCTTCGATTTTCGAAAATGTGTAACACACTTTTTTTATACTAAAATTTTTTGCAGGAAAACTACTCATAAGCTTTTTAAAAAATTATGAAAAACTAAACAGTCTGAGAAATGTCTGAATTTTTGGACCTTAACTGATTCACTAAATATTCACAAGTTGAATTCTTAACATAACCTTTAGATAAACGTCTTTTAGGTATGGGCCTAACTCATAGAAATGCCATTACACAATATGTCTCTTAAATCCTATTTGACCCTTATTTTTGCGGAACTTTAGCCGTATATTTTTTCCTCAAAAGTATTAAAAATTTCTAATTATATTGTTTTCTTTCTGTTTTTGTTTTGTTTATTTGTCTAAATATTATTTTGATGTAATAATTTGGGACTTCTAACGATGGTCGTTTTTTATGCATGCGAATGTGTATAAACATGTGCGCGCGTATGAGTGATTATGTATTTATTTGTGTGGGAAGGTGGATAGCACTTTGATCGGTATGCATATATAGATTGATTTTGATCAAATAGAGATTAAGAGATTGTAAATATTTTATGTAAAATTGAGCCATAAACATCGCAGGCATTATTATTATCATTATTATTATTGTTGTTATTATTAAATAATGGTAATGTTTTAAATCCTAAGCATTACGCATCTCAAAGTAGATACCGTAAAATATGAGCAATAATTAAAAGATCTCCAAACAACAAGATCTTATTAAAGTAAGAAACAAATGTAACAGAAAATTTTATTAACCACTAATAAATATTTGCATTTTTTTAAATTTAAGCGTACAAATGTTAACACAATAAACTTACGGAGAGTCCTTAAAGTAGCAGCGTTGTTTTTTCTTGGTTCAACCGAAGTAGAAACTATTTAACAGACACATTTAAATGAATTTTCACCATTATCATTCAAACGGATTTCATTGGTGTATACGCTGCAGCAGACACTCACTCCGAAATTTCGGTTTTCACAGCTACTTTAGTTACACACTTTTCCATGAATATAATTCGAACAAGACTTTAACGCACGTTATTTTTATATAATTTATGAGTTAAAAATTTGAGAGAAACATTTTGAGTCTTAATTTTGTAACCTATGAGAGTAAGTTAAGAGAAAACCAATCACACAACCCAGTGTATGTAAACAGGAGCAACGAGCAGGCGGTTGGAAATACTCATACTTATGCACGAGTCAGTAACTTTGGGTCCAGTTCTCATAGCATGATGGAAAAAATTCGAGATGGCGCGCAGTGCGACAGAACTTTCTGCGATGTACATTAGGCCCAAGGGCCTGTAATTCGACTGAATAGCTTACCGTAGGGTCATAAAATATATGATTTGGTGAAGAAAGTTTATGAGGCTTACTTACACAGTGGCCTGAAATTTTGAGCTTTATGCTTCAAGGACGGTCAGTGATGTTTACTGCTGACTGACAGTGAAAAATATGTATAAATAAATAAAACACTTTTCGAAATTTCATTCGAACTTTGGAATTACTTTTTCAAATTGCTGATTTATTATCGAAGATAAACATTGTGTAAGATTTGGTATGACCTTCGGCAGTTCCATTACTGTAAAGTGTAATAGTAGTTTTTATTAGGGTCCGAAGGTCCTGTGAAGCGCTGGCCCGAGGAACGTAAGGTAACCGTGGAGCGATGGCGCTTATGTGGGAAATCCTATTTTTTTTACTAAGGGCACATGAGCCTGTTAAAATCGCCCAAGTTAGGAAAAAGATTTTATTTTATTCATGTTATTAATAAGCAAATAAAAATTGAATTAAAAAAAAATCTTGTACCATATAGAAAGGTTCTACATGATTTAGAAGGCCACAATAACTTACCAATATCCAAAATGTACTTGTATAATTTCAACGTTGTTAGTAAACAATAAATAGTGCACAAAGTTTCATTTCACTATGAGTAATTTTTCATTATTTCTCTATTTATTGTATATGACAATGTATACCAATTTGTTGTTAAAATCTGAAACCCACTACTAAATGAAATTACTGCTTGCTAAATGGCACAAAGCTTTCTTCCGTTATTCTTTACTTATATTCTTCAAACTGTTAAATAATTTGGTGGTTATCTGAGTTTTCAAAGGTATCAAATGTTTTATAATAATTTTTTGTGTAAAAATTCTAGGTACTTAACTAAATAAAATATATTGCATGTGTTTAACTCTGTCAACAATTAGGTACTTTCCTTGAATCACATGAAAAAAAATTCTCATAATATATTGCTGACTTATTTTAGCTCAACAATATTTTCTTTTTACTCGTAAATCTATTACTTTTTACTATGTACAAAATGAGATATGAGCTACTTATTATAAGTTATAACTTTTGAAACTTATATTATACGTTAATATAAAATTGAGTCTTATTTATATGATAACCTTAGATTTTGTTATAAAGGAATAACAAGGATACTATTATAATACAACACAAAAAATATATAAAATAAGTAGTTCTGCTTTTTATTTACATTTTTAAAGTAAGTTTGTCTTGATACATTTCAAACGTCCTTGTACAGATTTGTTATAAACTAGAATTTTTTTTTTTCATTCATTACAATCTATATACATTTTCATACAATAATTTTATTGCGTAACTACTTTATTTCTCGTTCACATACGAGGAAAAAATAAAAGTGTCATAATCTGTTTACATATTTTATTTATTCCGTGAATAAACGTTTAAAAAAAGTACAATGAACATTACATCATTTCAAGTCTTACTGACTTTCTCATTTCACATTATTTTATTTTACAATAGTTCATTTGAAAGACAAAACGATGTCGACGAGTAAATATCGAATAGATTTAAAAGTAAAAACTAAAATTATTGAAAATAACGTTTTCAATTTTAATTTTTTCCTCTAAAGATTTATCTTGTGTAGATAATATGAATTTTAAGTTTAGAACAGTCTTACATTTGTTAAGCGATTACGTCAGTTTTTCATATTTTGTTGACGAAGCTGATGATACACTATCAATCATGCAACTGCGTATCAACTATAAAGTAGACGTGAATAAAGTTAACGGAGTAAAGTTCCTCTGAAAAATAAAGCTGATCCAAAAATCTAAGACGATTTCAATGGCACGTCAATTTATCGCGTCATTAGAGTCGAAGGAAATAATTTTAAAAAACTAGAAAGTTAAGGATAGACAAAAAATTTAGAAAATTTTGCCTCTGACTTTATTATGTTCTCTAGAGATTCATCTTATGTAAATGATTGGAATTTCAAATTTTTGAAAGTATTGCACTTGATAAACAATAACGTCAGGAATATATGTTTATCAATAGAGGGTTATTTTAGCTCTGATTAAATACTATTGGACATAAAAATTATCAGAGTAGAATTCTCCTGAAAAATAAAGCTAATCCAAACATCATAAACTATTTCAATAGGCCGCTTTTTTTTATCATGTCTTGATGACACAAAAGTATCATCATAAAACTAAAAAATTATTGGTTATACCATTGTAACTGCTTACAGTTGTAAGAGATTATTTTCTTAATACACTTAGAACTCCTTAACACGACAAGAAGAAATTGTCACTGAGATAGCGTAAAAGCTTGGTGCGCAGCATTTGATTCCTACTAGCTTTAATATAACACGTTGTCAAGATGCTTTTTGGAGTATGGCTTTTAATCTGATGGATTAAAATTTCACTTGTAATGGCTTCAAATGAAAAATTGAAGATTTGTTTTTACCAACAGGTACTTTGTACGTTATATTTTGTGTGAGTACAAAGACAACCGACTGATAGCCTGAGGACGAATCAAAGCTTATCATATTTGCTAGTTCTTTACTGGGCAATCAAAATACAATTAAATATTTTAGGTGATGATGACATTTCAGTGATATTTTTTCAATCATATTGAGAACTACTTTGGATTTTTCGCAAGATGAATTGAAAAAGTAGGTGAAACTAACCATTATCAACATTGTGACGATGCAAGGAGATTTGCACGTTAAATAATTTAATAATGCTAGCTATATTAATATTGCTTTTGGAGGATGGCTTTCGATCTGATTAATTAATATTTCATTTGTAATGGCTTCAAATGAAAAACTAAAGATTTGTTTTTACCAACAGGTACTTTGTACGTTATATGTTGTGTAAGTACAAAGACAGACCATTTACCAATCGACTGACAGCCTAAAAATCAAAGCTTAACATATTTTCTTNCCAAGAAATATAATTGTAAACTTATTATTATTATTATTATTATTAGACGTACGAAATAACCAAACGGTGGGCAATTGCGAGGGTAACTGTGTCCCAATATGTCGGTATTCTCTCGAATGTTGGATTATTTTGACGGATATCAATCTCCACCCCTCTCCTTCCGCGAGTCAATGCACAATGCAATTAATTACATGAACTTGTGTATGCACTGATACGATGTAAGGTACACGTACCTACGGATGGTAATAAGATTAAGCTTCATATTACATCTTACGACTGCATGGAGGGTTTTAAAAAGTTTACGTCTCGTTTCGTAACAAAAATTTTCAAATTCTCACTGGTGCAGTAAGGTGTAGTGTAAAAATTCCAGCGTCACAAGCGGACTTTGCTGTTTTTACTATTTTTTTTCTGATTACCAGATACTTGCTCAACTGAGTCTCTTTTGATTGATTGGAGTACCTAATATGCTAAAATGCGTAATGTAATAGTCACGTGAGTGGCTGAGTTGACTTACCAACAGAGCTATGTTTGGCATGATAATGACATCACTTTCGGTTCCGTTGCTCAAGTGTGGCATAAACTTCAAGGGATGGAGGGGTACCGTCGAGACGGTTCCGTTGTCGTTAAACGAAATGTTTCCGTGTTCTAGGAATTCCCTGTTTGGGTGAGAAAATTTTATTCATTCAGTATTCATCACCATTACACCGCAATTATCGAGATGTGGTTTCAAGTTTACTCCCGTTTGCCCCTAATAAGGCCTTTTCAAAACAGCGCAATATAATTAAAACTAATTGCAAAAATTTGGTTTGACTTGTTCCACGTTTGGTATAACACAATTTTAATTTATAAGAACTTGCAGCTACTACACCTATATATTTATTAAGTGTTATGAATCAAAATAAACAGTTCCCAGTTTTTCATTGTATTGTTTCATCACTACAAATTGTCGTTTAATTGTATTCAGATTTTTCAAATATTCTCTCATCAACACAATTCATTGTCCAAATTTTAAATTAAAAGTCCAAGAGGTCAAGAATTACCAAAGCTCAGTGTCAAATTTTGTTTTGCAACGTTATGGATTAACAACTAATTATTCCCTTAAACTCTTGGCATTCAATACAAAAATGAAATTTGGCTATCCATATGAGATAGAGACAGACATTCTTCTAAAATTAAAAAAAACTTTGGTGATACCCGTTTTAATACCAAAATTTAAAGGATTCTGGTAAAAAAAAAAACCATGTAAAGGTTAAATTAAATACAGAAATTTTCAAGGGTAGAGTTGAATTGCATTGTATCACGTTTGTGCTGGGCAAAGTTCCGAGATACTTTGATCAAACCGGTAATCTCTTCAATAGCGAAGGTAAACGTCAATCGATTTTACTGTAAGACATGCAGAGCGTTCAGTTGCTTGTTCACAAAGAGGCAGAAAAAATTTGCCAATCACATCGACTGACAGTCGAAGAAATATATATGAAAGAAGCTCACTTGTAGACATACGGTCCGACCTGCTGGAGTTTGATTTTGGCGTCCTGGCCCGACATGTAGGCCTCGTGGTTGGTCACATTGAAGAGGTAGACCTTGAGATAGAGATCGATGGGCGGGACCCTCCAGATATCAAACATCTCTCCACCCTTGCCAAAGATCGACTTGTACTTGAAAATGTAGTCGTACGGCTGCAGTGCAAGTAACAGGCAGCCGGTAAACAAGCCCAACAAGCCCATCGTCATTAACATGAAGATACCTGTGGAATTGCAGAAAATTATGATACCTTTAGTCAATGCTTTTTAAATCTTTTTTTTTTTATCCACATATCGTGTTAGTATTTTGGTCGCATGTGTAGATCAGGGTTTAATGCGTATCAATAAGTATAATATTTCCCTATGAGTTGTCGACTAAGAAAAGCGATGACGTACAATTTCTTTTATTTTAAATAGAAAGACTCAAGGCTTCATCAACTATTAATCGCCTGAGAAAACATATTTTTTTAACGTAGCACCTTATTCCACTAAAGGATCCATAGACTTATGTTTTGTCAATTTATAAATATTTAAATGTACCAACGACATGCGTGAGGCTCATGCCAATAGACGGCTGAAGAGCGAGCACAATGGCAGAGGGAAGAAATAATGGTAACTTTTACTGTAGGACTTGAAAAGAAATACAAAGAGTAATGGTACTTGCAATGGAATTACCACTGAAGAAGTAGACATTGCACGAACAATTTATGCTGAAATTTTCCACTTTCTTCATTAATATGTACAAGAAATGCTTTACTTAAATTAAAATCTTTGGACTAACTGAATTTTGACTAAAATATTTTCTACCTTATTTAGAGTAACACAAGCACGTGGTCGCATTAAACTTATCTATTGGATGACGAAAGCGTGGCACGATGTACAAACCCGTAGCCATTTTTATGATGCGAGTAGAGTGTGATATCTGGGAGAGAATTCGGAGTCTTCTTTATGAATTATTCGGACACGTCTACCGCAGTGCTACACAAGCATGGCTCCACATGAGTGCACTCTTATTCTTCAGTTCACCATCAGAAAAGATAAAGTTATATCTGTAATAAAAAAGAAATTTGTTAAATTACAAAAACACTTACCTCCGTACACAATATTGCAATAAACATCACTCTCTTCTTCTACATACCATTTGTCGAGTACACCGGACACGAGTTCGCCATCTTATGAGCCGGAACGGCTTCCACTTTCGGGTCTGCGTTCGTGTGCACTACGCACTACAGACATGATGTCGTTTCGGGGACTGAAGAGAAATGAACGATACGATGCAGATGCTATGGCTGCATGGCTAGTGCCGTAGCACCTAGCGAGTTGGCAAACTTAGTTCAGAGGGCGCTAGAGAGAGAAGCCTCCGGCCAATGAGCCAATGGGATTAGAGCATTTCAGAATAAAAAGGAAATAGATCCAGCGCCATGTTTGGAAGAGATGCATACATATATACTTTCTATCGTAAGTGAATCGGAAGGCTCTTCTCTCATCGTACCCCTCTTTGCTGAGTTTGCCTGAAAGCCCGCCTTTTTGAAAATACACATATATTTTTGTATATAGATGAGAAAATCTACAAAAAATATCTCGTATTTGTCCCCCACTTAAATAGAAAACATTTTTTGAGGCACACCTTTTGAAACGAGGCTCATTTTACTCATAATGTCATGTACTACTGTGAGGAAAAAATTTTGAACATAGGTTTCAGTGAGGGTGACACCATTTTTCTGCAATTTATATGGTAAAACTATGTATGTATACCTACATATGATATTTATAAATATAATTTTAACATGTAAATCGTGGGAAAAAATTTTCACCTTCACTGAAACCCATGTTCAAAACTTTTTCCTCGTAGTACATGACATAACGAGTAAAATGAGTCTTATCGGTCTTATCTCGAAGGTGTACCTCAAAAAATTTTTTTTTCAAAATGGAGGACAAAAACGGGATCACTCTTGTGGATTTCCTCACATGTATGAATAAAGTAGAGAGTAGAGTGAGGAGCATATAGAGATACTAGAGGATTCTTTTGGAAAATCGATGACATACTTCTATTGTTAAAATTCCTTCAGTTATCAGTTGCCCAAAATGATATTAGTTGTCTCAATTTCTCATATATGTACACACAATATCAGCTATAAAATTGTTTTGTGGGTTTCTCCGATGCTCTGTGCTAGACGAGCTTAAAAAGACCTCTCATTTGTCAAATGTGTCTGTATCGGCTGTGTCACTCGCTGAGACACTTAAAAGATCTAACGGAAACTTTGCTCAATGCCCATTTTCATACAATCTCTACCGGGAGTTTTGAATTTCAAAGTTAAACCCTGTTGACAAGGTAGGATCCCCGATTTCTTGGGAAAAAATTCTGGCATGCTCTCGAATAAGAATCAAGAGTTTTCCAAGTAAAAATTTGGACCAAATATGTTTTAACTATTNGCTTTATATTTTCTTTTTTAATAAATTTCTTTTTATTTCTCATAAGAAAATTTGTTGATATCAAAATACAAGTTTCGCTGTTTGTCAAATGATTATTATTAGTATAACTGACACAGATTTTATAAACAAGTGAACATTGTAGCTGCACTCATTGTCTTGAACGTACCATGTAACATCGAAATTCAATAAATGTGAATTGTGTATAATATTGGAACAAGAAAACAACCTATATTATTGGAACAGCAGAATACAGTCGATGGAAGAATTCGATTGTACTATATGTTTTTTTGTGCGAAAAACGTGACGATAGATGTTTTCAATATTATTAAACCACCGATCAAATTTCCACAGATGTACGGCTTGCGGAGTCCCGGAGTCAATTACGCTCTCTCAGCGAATGATTCTCCAAACAGCCATTACGAGTAATTTGCACGCATATATCCGATAATCGCTTGGAGCACTCGCAAAGTGTCTATTTGCCGATCGTGGCCAATCCCTTGGTAACTTTAACATCACTGCACGTGAGTCAGCTCCGACCGGAACGCATTAAATTATCGTAAAACGCGTGAGTTATTGGTTTTGATACGAGACCGAAGGTGTTATCTTAATGAATCGTTAATACTTTGCGTGCCGCTTTGCGCATCGGGGCTGTATGGATTTTACCAATTGATTCGAAACTACAGCGTGTCTACAACCCCACACTCGTCTACGTAGGTATGAGGAACTGCAATCAAGATTACTGTGATTTACCGTTTGATGCCTCTATGAAAAAACCTCAAACAAACTCCCAAAGCGAGTATACTTTGCAACTTTGTCAAACTCGATCTCACTCCATAATGTGCTATGGAATATGGAAATAGGTGAGCTGCTCGTACCAGATGCGAACGCTCAGAAATAGTGAATGAATCAGACAAATCTGGCGCCAAAAGAAAATCAGGAGCAGAAAAAAAAGAGAGTGCAGGAAAACGCTCGCCATGAATAAGATAGCGTAGCTGAACACTATATTATACAGTAGGTACATAATATATACATATCATACAGTGTTTAAGCGTATTGATGCTCATTACCCATTCCCGACGCGTGTACTTGATTCTTGATCGCAACGGCCACAGCCAAAGAATCGATCTACCGTGTTAATTTGAACACATTCCACGACACGACGGGAGAGCACGGCTCTTTTAATTTAAACTAGTGAAAAACTACGCACAGTTGCAAGTCGTCATATTTTTACTCCGAATATATGATGTTGGCATTGACTCTGCAGTTAACTATTCATTTACAGAGTATTGAGAGACTTTTGATTTATTCGGATAAAAAATCCAAATTATCATACATCTTGAAGAATGAAATAGTGACATGTACAGTAACAAAGTATACAGTGCTTCCGATCACTCGGTGGGTGAATTCGGGTCGGAGAAGGTTACCACGACCGATGACCGAGTCGAGACTTTTCTTACGTACTTTTTGCCCCGATAAACGCGAATTTCGGTGATAATCGTCCAAGAAATATAATTGTAAACACTTTTCATTGACTTATCTGCAATCCCACCGAGTATGCCAATAAAGGAGAAAACAGAAAGATAATGGCAATTTATTTCAACCAACAGCGTTTTTTTATGAGCATTTTCGAACCAAACAAAGAACCGTACGGGCCACACCTCATGCGTGTCAGAAGCTGTGCGAGAGAAAGTAATTAAAATACTTAAATGCTGCACGTTGTCGTATCGAAAAACGATCGAAAAAAGAAGACAAAAAGCTACCCCTCGAAGAAAACAAGCAATAAAAGTCACTGCCGTGGCAAGTTCTCACGAGACTACATATTATTATTGTTACATTGGTACAGGCACAACAGAAAGAGAAAAGAACAAAGTACCGCGTGATTTGCCCGCATCCCCGATACGTAGGTGTACCGGGAATGCCGAGCACTTTGACCCTGATCTTCTCTCTGCCTCTCCGCTCGGTAGCTGTCGATAATCGCGTCCCTGAGCTCGCACCGCTCGAGAAATTGTGCCGCCTCGCGATCTCGATTCTCTTTCTCCCGCGTGTTTGCTTTATTTGTGGCGACTGACGCGCACAACAGAAAATTCCCAATAAATGGCCTGACATGCATCATAGCCGATTCCCTACGCATACTCGTCGATGCCAGCACTGACCCATATTCCACAGACTCAATAATTTTGGTTGAAAGTCATGTATACATGCGATTTAGCTTTCAAACGTAGAGAACCACTAAAGTATGGTTCTTTTTTTCACGAGATTCCGTTTCTTTAACCCAAACACTTTCTAACTGCTTACGAATATCTTGAGCCAAAGGAACAGTTTTTATTTCAGTTGTGGACTTGATAATTAAGTATTCTTCAAAAGTCACAGAAGTGGATAAAAATCCGGAATGACACACGTACGAGATAAGTAAAGGTTATAACTGAGTTTTAAAATAAAAAAGATGAATAAATACCAACTTGAATGGGAATTTCTCGGTACATGTGGTTTTACCGATCAGTGCTGAAAAGATCATTCCTGTCACCCAGGTGTCCCACCCACTGGCGGTCAGATTCGAAAGAAACAGCGGGTATCAGTCTATACCTCACATTTTCGACAAACCAATCGAGCCAAAAGGCTCAAGAAGCACGGAGCTTGGACATCCGGAATCCGCATGCACCATTGACGCCACATATTTACGCGTTTCGGGATTTTTTGCGGATGTGAGTCAGAATTGTCTTTGGCTCTTTCGGGCTTTTCTTTGTTTTTGCTTGCTCTACTCCTAAGCTGGTCTGCGGCGTCCTTGCGCGAATCTGAATTTCGCGTGCGCGCGACGCGTTCCCTCGAATCACAAGTACCGACAGCCGCATGCGTCACTCGCAAAAGTTGGAGAGCGAATGAAATAGCGACAGGTACGCGCGATTCGCATGACATGCCTCAACTAAATGATTAAATATGGTCGGCAGTTGAAAAAGTCGTGAAAAAAAAGCGTGAATGAACTCCAGATAATCGAGTATATCCAGATGAGGCTGCACCAGCACCAAAGCAGCGTGTTGGCATATCAACAGGTATCGTACTTATCGCTCGCAAAAACTTGATCAAAAGTCACGTCTGCGGCTGATGTAAGGGGAGAAAAAAAAACGCCAACGTAATCCCCGGTAGAGATGTTACGTCGGCTCGGGCGATTTTTGATATCGGTACGGTCAACACATCGTGAATTGCGTAACGCATCACGTGCAAGTTGGAGGGACGTTATGATCTTGGCGACCGTGATCTTGAAAAGCTGGCGGGAGGGTCACAAGCGCAGTTTAAATCTTAAGGCAAAGAGCGACTCGATGCTAGCCATATTGCTTGCGACAAGCCTTTTTCCTGAGATTGACCGAGCAGTATAGCGTGTATAGGGCGTAATCGCCAAATGATGGACTCGATTGACCGATCGTAAAAGAAAAGTCGAGAGGGGGAGATCACACACGCACGACAAATGCTCCCGATAAATTATTCATTTCCGCGGGCTCCCGCTTGAATACAGATGACTCCATTACCGCGGACAGATCAAACAGTAAAAAATATTAGACACCGAATACTTGCGTAGTCGCACGGTGCGATTCTGCTCGTGTGTCTTTTTTTTTTTTTTTTTTTTTTTTCACTTGATCCAACGCGCTCATGGCGCACTTTTTTAATGGTCAGTAAGTAGCGAGGGAATTAATGACTGCAGGTGCAATAAGGACGCGTCGGTCGCTCGCTATTTTACGGCGATCGCGGGAAAATCCTGGCTTTGCGCAAACAAAGGCGATATTTCTTTTTTTCCTTTTTTTTGTTTTCTTGTTTTT